ACTGCAATACAAAAAATTGTCTGAGTAATTGGTGTTTTTGGCCCGCAGAATAAATTAAGCCTTCTCCTTTTGGCCGAAAAGTTGTTTTTATTTTTTTTAAGTTTGTAAATTTTGTTTTGTTGTTATTTTTCTGTATTTTGCATTTTTCTTGGCCTATAAATGGTGTTTTGTTTATTTATTTGTTGAAATAAACAAACTAAGATATTTTGAATGGCTACTGTCGTGGCTATTTCTGTCAAAAAAATGTAGAATCGAATTGAACAAACATGACAGCTACAGTAGAAAAACATGAGACAATTATTTGACATTGACATAGGGAAGCTTGTTAAATGTCATCTATTTATGGCCCCTGAGCCAAATAGCCTTGTCAGTGTATTGATTCTTTTTGTTTTTCATTCATTTCAAATTAGAATGCCGATTTATTTACATTGCAGGAAATATAGTGTACTAGCTTTCGTCAGTTATACCGTCTGCGTGAAATTAAGAAAAAACAAAAGTAAGTAGCCCTGGACTATCCTATGTCTATGCCAAATATCATAGATATCCGTTCAACAGTATGGACTACAAACTCTAACATCCATACATCCATCCAAACTTTCGCATTAATATTAGTAATTTAGTGTTCTAGCAGTTAGTTGCGACTGACCGACTGCGAGTCCTTGGAGATGCTGATATCGTTGAAGTTGTTCTGCAGATGGTTGAGGGGGTCGTGGTTCTGCTTGAAGAGGTCCGCGCCGCCCGCCTGCTGCTTCATGTACAGCGCCTGCTGCGTCGCTATTTGGTTCTAAGGAAATATTCTTCAAATATAAAAACCAGTATAAAAATATTCATAAAATATTTTATATGAGAGAATACTATAACTAGAAAATTAAAAATGAACTGTATACTTTTAAAAAATACACAAATATTTATAAATGTTCCATGTCTATTTCACGTTTAAGTTCTGTGACTTAAATAAAAAAAACAATATTTAAATGCAGCTTGACAAAGTATATTAAAACATGAACAGAAAGCGGATAAATTGTTGGAGGTAATAGCTAAGTTACAACTTAGGATGTCTAGCTTAAAAATTAAAAAATAGACTAAACTATTTTCAGTGTTATATTGAATAATAAATTACATGGTTCAAATGGCAAGAAATTATTATATAAGGAAGGTCGTGGAAAGCACTGAGGACAGTGTAACTCAGAAATAAACGGACGTAAATTGATATGCGACAAAATATAACTAACTTGTAACGCTGTAATCTGTTGCTTGGCCTTGCTGATCTGCACAGAGTACTGCACCGCCAGAGTGGAGTTGCCCTTCGACAGCGCCAGCGTGTGTTGCTGCACCAGCTGCTGCAGCACCTTGATCTGGACATACAATTTATAATTAATAACTGACGCTATGTCTTCAATAACTTTACAGTTTCATCTGACAAGTACAGACTTGTAATTTGAGCTAGGAGTCAAAGTAATTTTATTCAATTACAATACACTTGCAAATCTACAAGTATTTATCGTTGTCCTTATATCTTCATCGCAAAGTTATGTACTTATAACTTATAACTTATAACTTTTATTTGACGAAAAATGTAATCATTGTTGTAATTAAAATGTAATGTAATTATTTATTCAAATTGCTCTATTAAGAGGTTCACTAACTTGCGTGAATTTTACATCTGTTTACTTGTTAAGGACTGTAAATCTTCAAACCTGCTGTAAGAGCTGATTGAGGAGCACGAGGGTCTGCGGCGCGAGGGGCTGGTTCAGGATCTGGTGGTTGAGGT